ACGAGGCCGCAGGAGTCGAGTTTAGTTTTGATGTTTGTGTAGTTTTTGGGATAGCCGTGCAAATGTAACTGCACTCCTGGCAATTATTACTATGCCATGTATGTATGTAGGTATGCTCTCCAACAATTCTAACGTATACTGTTGTTGTTTACTGCTTCTTATGCCATTATTGCCTTTTACAATGTTACAATGGCATAAAAACCAGTGTATATTTATCAACGGTTCTAAGTTGTTATTACTACGTCATAAACATTTTGATTAAGCTCTTTCATATCCCCTACACTATTAGTGTTGTATTGTTGTAAAATATGAATTCCATAACGCATGAACGCTTTTCCTGCTCTATTTGCCATTGGAATCCGCTTATTACAAAACTAAATTCAATACAGTTCAATTCAATTAAAAAATTCCATAATTTATTTTTAAATGCATATGCCAACCATTAACACTGCCACGCCCTAGCTAGAATGTTTGTACTGTGCACATTTCCTTGAACAAAATTGTAGAGCCATGCGTAATATGCAGCCAACGTAATTACAAACATGATAACAATTGTAATAAAACTGTCAAACACAAGTGCAGCAGAACAGAAGTACCCACTTGTATGTATGTATGTATGTATGTATTTATGTACTTGCAAAGGCATTTATTGCAAATACTTGTTGATAGCCATATTTGCGGGCAAGCAATCGATTATAACGCAAAGTTGTACGCTCGCGGCCACTATGCGGCTTTGCCAACACTTACGATCGGTGTAGCCACACAGGGTGTTTTTCCTACCAAAAGTAGTCGGTTTTTTCCCATTTGGTAGATTGGTAGGCCTGATTGCATTTTGGTAGGTTTCGGGACAATGAGTAATAGTCACTTGCGAAAAATAGAAAATATGCATCTCCAAACATTTTAGCAACCTTTTTTACACAAATATTTCACCGGTGCGTTCGTATAAAGTCGGCCGCAGACATGTAAATATACCTAATTCCTAAGTACAAACGTATACCCTTATTATTGCCAATATACATACAATACGAACATCCAGATATCGTTACCTAAGGGTGAAAAGGTGCCAAAAGTCCATTTTATGAAATTCTTCAAGAGAGGCGATGTAATCCGCATCAAAAAAAAAATTTAAAAAAAATGGATTTATGGCGTACTTGAACCAGGATTCCCAACCATATTCCAGGGGGAGGTCTTCGCAATCGAAATCTGTGTTTGTGAATGTCATTGTAGAAGGCAAATGAGGCCAGAATAAATATTATATCGGAANTTCTGCATCAAAAATAAACTTGGAAAAAAAATGGATTTATGGCGTACTTGGGCCAGGATTCCCAACCATATTCCAGGCGTAGGTATTCGCAATCGAAGTCTGTGTTTGCGAATGTCATTGTAGAAGGCAAATGAGGCCAGAATAAATATTATATCGGAAATTTAGGCAGCGTTAAAGACCCTAGGGTCTTTTAAAACGACATCAAGGCTTGTGATCTCTTGAACGACCTGGGATCCCACCATAGCGCAACGGAGGGTCGAGGGTTCGGATATATGAAGGGTTTGAAACGAAACGAAAGGGTTGACTGTCTCGCAAAGCGTGGAGCCCAAATGCGTTTGCATGATCGCGAGCCTTTCTGCGGTAAATCCAAATAAGATACACTGCAGACCTACTCAGGAGCTAGCTGGCGGAGTTCAAAAGAATAAGACAATCAAAGAGGTTCATAACTATTTTCTCGAGGAACTCTGAAAGACACCTTCAACTTAAAACTCTTATTACTGGTAACCTGGTACGCCTGGTACCTTTTTCCCTGTCAACTTTTGAGCTCGCGTCTTCATTCATTATATGTAAGGGGACATACATTTGGGTAAGTCTGTACAGTAAAATGAATCGCTATACGCAGTTAATTTGTTTTTATTTTACTAGCTGTGTTTTAGGTTAACTAAATGTTATGTTATCTATGTTTTTAATAAATTTGACATCGGAAAATAAAAAAAGAATTTTAGAACTCAAAATAAATTTTGGTAGATTTTGATTAGTTATGCTAGGAAATTTTGGTAGGAAAAAAAATTTGTCTGTGGCAACACTGCTTACGATTGTAATAATGTATGTATGTAAGTAAATATGCACTTCGCTATGTATAGCATTTGTATGTGCAAGCCGATCGTACTGCCAACAAACACTAGCTGGCTGGCTGGCTGGCGGGCGGCAAGCAATTCGCAACGCATTACAGTTTGCCAGCTTGGCTCGCCCCACTTGGCTGTTCAGTGGGCCAAGCCCAAAAAAATACGCCGGCTTCACTCGAAATTACTAACCACCGCACACGTTCATTTGCAATAAATCTCTCACCCTGCCATCGTATACGCTGGTGCGCCTGCGTGACAGCACGTCAACACTACGCAGGCGGCAACACAGTTTTACGCTTTTATAATTTTTTTGTTGTTGTTTTTTTATAATTTTGCAACAGTCACAGTGTTACAAGTTCAGTTATTTAGTTCAATGCGTAAATACTTTATTCAGCATTTTCAATGGCGACAAAAATACTACATACATAAATGTTGCATACGCAATGCAACATGTTGCTGCTGCAGCGGTCAAGTTCAAGTGCACGCAACTGATTTGTATGCGTTTGCGCACAAATCAAAAAAAAAAATACGACAAACAAAAAGCTTGCTTTGACAAATTGGCTGCTAAATTATAAAATTTGAAGTTCAATGTGCAACTGGCGCGTATAAATAGTTGCGTGCGGCGCTTGTGAGGGGTCGGTCATTGTCGCTTGCTTGTCAGCTTGCAAATGCGTTGGAAAAACATGTGTGCATACATACATATCTACTGAAATGCATGCATAAGTATACAAATATATACATAGTTGACCACCAGTCTAATCTGACCGTGCCTCTGTTTGTTTGTGCACTCTCTATGGAGGCCATCAGTCGGCCAGCTGTGCTGCGACTGGTTTTCACGCAGTTTTTTATTTAGTATGAAATCATGAATGCCTATACCTCCTATCCGCTCGATCAACGACGATTGCAGCAACTTGTGTGCGTTTTTGTACGCAATTAATTGGCGAATTTATTTTTGAGTGGCAAAAAATTATGCAAACAAACTCATATACGAATGTATGTATGTATGGCAGTGCGTATGAGTGCGTTTTTTTTTTGAGATTTTTTCTTGAATGAGTTTCTTTGTATTGTGTATTGCTCAATGGTTTCGTACATAAATAGCAAGTATGTTTACCTTTTTTTCTGCATCTAATTTCGATGTCGAATTGTAAATGCGGTTGCAAAATTTGTTTGTTTACATTTTTTATTTGTTGATTTGTTTGTTTGTTGTGCCAATCAAGCAGCACTTAGGCGGCTTACACTTATTTGNAACGATTGCAGCAACTTGTGTGCGTTTTTGTACGCAATTAATTGGCGAATTTATTTTTGAGTGGCAAAAAATTATGCAAACAAACTCATATACAAATGTATGTACGGCAGTGCGTATGAGTGTGTTTTTTTGTGAGATTTTTTCTTGAATGAGTTTCTTTGTATTGTGTATTGCTCAATGGTTTCGTACATAAATAGCAAAGCAAGTATTTTTGCACCTAATTTCGATGTCGAATTGTAAATGCGCTTGCAAAATTTGTTTGTTTACATTTTTTATTTGTTGATTTGGTTATTTGTTATGCCAATCAAGTAGCACTTAGGCGGCAGATTTTGTTATTTGTACACTTATTTGTTTAAAACTACATAGCTTTTGCCCGCATGATGCTTGGCTTACGGTAATGTTATCATAGTTATGAAAGAAAAAAGGAAATAGTTGTATAACCCAATAGCTAGAATTATAGAAAACTATATTCGACATGGCATCCATATGTCTTCCAGCTGCGGGGAAGTCGGTTTAGGCACAAATCGGTACTAGTAAATACAAGTACATACTCGATACTTTTCTTCCGATACCAAGTAATTTTGGTATCGATACTTTTGAACCGAGTACTGAATAGGTATAGCAAGCAAGTATTTGTATCGAAAACCGATTCAGTGACAATTTTATTCACGAATTTGATTTTTATTTTTTAATCTAATTGTTATTGTGAATAGTTAACAATTTTTGGCAGTTTGGTTGTGAATGAAAAGAAAGTCCTACAAAGAAAGACCTACATAACATATCGCTGGCTTAAAATGAAAAGCTGCTAAGTCTACCTTTTGTGAAAACTCATATTTGGATATAGGAAGCAAGGAAAATTAAGAACGCAACGTCTCTAAAAGTATTAACTAACGTGTTTGTTTCATTTCTTCCCATTTATATTCAATTAAAGACAAATTTACTAAGTCCAACTAATCTGCGGTTAAACATCGTTAACGACGTCTTCGACATCATGCTGATGACATGTGATCGATAGAGGAGTCGTTTTATTTAACCGGACATTGACAAACGGTCCTAACTAGGACAACCGAAGGCGAAAATGAACTCGGTAAGTGGTGTTTTGTCCTCCATCCATGGTTTAGCCAATAGTATAATGAAAAAAAGAGACTTGAAGAAACTACTACTTCTTTTCTCAACATTTGAACAAGAATCGCAAAGATTATGTTTTCAGATAACTTTATTTTTTTTTACACAAATCCAATTGATAAAATAGAACAGAAAAAAATATGTGATTAAAATATAAAATTGTTATACAAAACATAAATAGCAAGAGTGCAGATCTGGTTACACTGTGGTAATGGCAGTGAAAAGACAACATTGTGATATGATAAATTGACTTAGAACATGATGCGTATCACAGCGTATCTAATAAGAGTAAAAAAGAAGAAAGATAAAGATAGTGTTGGAAAAACCAATAAAAAAACGAAGGAGGTTGAAATACAAGGAAATAAAAAGATTTACAAAATTTTTTTTTATCAAAAGTGTTTAATTAAACTAAAACTATTTCTTGTATCGATTCATTGTCTGTTTGCATGCATGTATGTATGTATGTAAATATGTAGCACGTGTTCCAGTTACATAACGTAATTGACTATGACCAGGTGCTTGTGCGTATTTTCCCGTTCAAAACGACATTCAATTCAGTGAAATTAGTGGCATCCCTTCTTAGATGGTGCCTGGTGCTGGTTCCAAGTTCACTGAGGCAGCTGATTGCACATGTCCGGGCAGAGGTGCCACATGTACAGCGCCACGAGTTTTGGCGACATAGGTGCCCTCTGCAGCCACAACAGCTGGAGCAGCCACCACCGCTGGGCTGGTGATGATCTGTACTGGCGATGGTGCGGCAACGACAGCTGGCACGGCAGAGGCATGTACAGCAATAGAGCCAGGTGGAGAGGCCAAAACGACGCCATTGATGGATGTGACCACGCCTGGAATGATCGAGCAGTGAGCAGCGCCAAGGGCCAAAGCGAACAAGACTACGGAAACGGCGAACTGAAATAAGAAAAGGGGTAAACGATTTATTAGCAAAAGCTAGTTAGAAATGTATGCGCAGGAGTAGTTGATATTAAATATTAAACAAGTTTTTCTTCGTAAAATTTACGATATAAGAAAGATATAGGAGATAGCGTTGACAATATAGTAATGAATAATTTGCATTACTACGTTGTTTTTATATACGATATAAATCTACGATATTACATTACGATATTAAAATTTAATAAGGTTGAAGACTTTCAGTAGAACTATTTTAGTAAACTACGCAGCCTGGTTATTTTTAACCGTTATCCTGAGGTTTTGAGGAACATATTGAAGTTATCGATAATTACACATGGTGTTGTATAAATTTTTTTCCAATTTAGATTTAATCACAACGAAACAATAGTTTATTAGCAGAATTGAGGTACACTTCGTTTACGGTATTCAAGTGACAGTATAAATTTACTATAAAAGTCTTACGATATTAAATAAACGTAATTTTTTTTAGATTAGGGTCGTTAATAATGTGGTGCTGATTGATCAGCAGAATTGCAGCATTTTTCCATATACGATATTAAGTTTGTGACACAACTTTTGCGGCACTCAATTTATCATCAGTTATATTCAGCTTTGTACCACTCTTTGTTATCGGAAAACGTGGAAAACAAACAACGTAATAATCCTATCTCATCAGTTTTTGTTCAGACTTCAGCTGCAGAGAGAAAAAAATATGACGAGGAGACGTGATTGCCTCCGACATATAGCAATAATTCAGTTAATACGTTACAATAATAACAAAAAGGGATTTCGATTTGATCTACGATATGAATTCTATCATGTTTGATCTACGGTATAAGGTTTATGATAAAAATTTAAGGTATTATATTTACGATATTGATTTGCAATATTTCTATTTTTTACTTTAAAGCTATTAAGAAGCAATAATGATTCGTTTGCTAATCTCCTCTCTGTAAAAATAGTAAGTCTAAAAATATTTGGCCTATGCCCTTTTTGGCACAAAACAATTGCCGCTGAAATTATGTAGGTTATGGTGCCTCAAAAACAACAAAAAAGGCGCTCGATTTATTTACGATATAGGATTTACGTTATTAAATTTACGATATTATTTTTTAGTTAAAGCTATTTATGAAGCTGTGCTGATTCAGTTGCAAGCTTAAATAAAATTAATCACTTTGTGAAACTTTAATTTCTTAAGAAGCTTTAAGTCGAATCGTATGAGGGTTTGCGCTTTTTACCTATTAACTAATTATAATTATTCTGAAATACTTTTTAATTAAAAGTGGCTAGTACAAATATGTTCACTTTCTTTCACAATACGAAACGTAAAATATTTGCAGTCCATTTGTCAGTGCTAGAATTTACAATATGGTATATGTATTTATTTTTTTATACATTTTTCATTTCTTTCTTTCACATTTATTTCACAGGATCACTTCATTTAAAATTTCAACTTATATTTTTATTTTTATTCATTATCCTTTTTTATTGCCCACCTTCATGTTGCTTTTTATTGTTGTTTGAAGCTTAGGGGATGTTGGTTCACAAGAACTTTCTTAACAGCTTGAAGCTTGAAATGTTACTATGATCAGTCTTTGCGCTTGGGTGATCTTTTATACGTTTTAATTAGCATTTCGCTACCGTTTCAGAAACGATATGTCTATGTACACTTGACTTCTAGCCTGCGGTAACATAGAAGTATTTTTTATCTGGCTCCATACAAGTTGACCATTGCAAAATCGTACATTATACAATATGTAAACCATTTATTATAAAAATAGCACAACAAAAAATACTTTGATCCAATTCCAGTTTTGCGTTTCAATGGCTAATGAATATCAAATCAATGGCAGTTGTGATCGAATGAGCAGAAAATACCTACATAAATGGACTGCTGATAAAATACTAGGTGACGCGGAAACAGTCTTTATGTCGTCTTAAAGCGGCACCACATATGTACCTACGAGTATGCAGATACTTATGTAGATCTTGTCCACCAACGCCATTTATGAAAAGTAACATACCCTGAAGGTATTCAGCGCGCCCGTAGCAACCAAGCGAATGGAAATATGTAGCTTCAAAGGCATCGCAATGCAGCGCAAGTTCGGGGTCGTCCATATATGAAAAAGTACTTAAAAGATTTAGAAATTTCTTTGGTTGTACGAGGGCACACACACATACATACATACATTGCTTGTGAACGCGACAGAGTAGGTGGTTGGTTACCTTCGGTTAGCGGTCTCTTTTGATAAGTACCAAAGTGGATTTGAACACCTTCACCACCACACGTGTGCCCATATTCTGAAGTTAATGAAAAAAAAATAAATATGTCTTTAGAATCAACCTGATTTTGTATGCTGTTAGAATTACTGATACTTTGTGGTCGCATTTACTTGTATAATTTTTTGCCTTTAATATGCCAATTCTTGTAAGATCACTTTCCGTTTCAAAAAACGTCAAAGTCAATAGTTGTTTTTTATGTAATAATTCAAGTGCGGCAATAATTCGATACGCTTGTTGACAGCGCACAGACAGGCAGACAAAGTGACAAGAGGAGAAAAAACATATGTACATACATACATTTTATATAAGCGTACGAACCTCGATCTATTAAAAATCCAA